TCGTTTTGCAAACAAGCCGAAGATGGCCGACGTTTGGGAAAGTTGTTTGGCTCATGACGTCACCCGAAGCTCATCATCGACCATGTAGGTAGGTCAACATCCGAAATTAGGGTGATGACTGTCGCTCCCTTATAATTGTCCATAAGGAACTGTTGAATCCCCGAAAGTAAAAGCTTCCACCTGTCGCCAAGAGGCCAGTGGAGGGTCTCTTGTCTCTGACTGATACCCACTTTTCCTTTGCAGTTATTCGCATCGAGAAGACCGGAATCCCGCATGACCACTGTTACGTGACGAGGTCATCCAGTGGGACATCAAGCCTTGCGAGAGCCCTAGGATTCGTGGGGCGGGAGATCCCCGTCTCGCGGGAAATCCCTGTCTCGCGGGAAATCTCTGTCTCGCGGGCGATCCCTGTCTCGCGGGCGGGGGTGTTAACGCGAGCGGGGGTGAAGCATTTGTACAGTTGCGAGTTCTGTGGAAAGACGTACAGCTGCAAGAAGTATTTGATGCGACACCAGAACCACGAGTGCGAGAACATCGAGGGGAAGGAGTGCTTCCCCTGTCCCCGGTGCCCGTACATTGCCAAACACAGGTGGTACCTCAAACGTCACATTCAAGAATTCTGCGGTCGACGTCGCTCGCTCCTACGGGCGCAGGCCGATGCTGAGGAATATGATGATTGAAAAAGCAAAGCACTTCCAGTTCTCCTCATTCAAATTTTGAAGCTTCATTTTTGTTCGTCATCTCCTCTCTCAAATTGTATCGTAACAAGTGGTGATTTGATGAAAAGATAGCTTGGAAACGGTCGAAGAACATTAATTGGACTACCTTTTTGCAATTTGGATCTACAAATTCCAGCCCGGTTTAAAAACAATGTGTGTGCCATTAGTTTCCCCCATGCTCATAAGGGTTTTTTCCAGAGGAGCCAGAATCTATAGCTCCAAATTGCAAAATGCAGTCCAATTAAGGGGCTTGGAGGACAAGGCGCATAAGTGCAGTTTTTGAAAAAATTGAGATATTCATGAACTCAACTAAAACTGGTTTGAAAGTACATTTTGTGAAAAATTCAGAAGTAAAATCCAACTTTAAAGCATCGAAAAGTGAGTTCAAGCTTCCTTTCCGCCATAAAAACTCCATGTGATTTTGAAACTTCAAACACGGACTTCTCGAAATAGCAAAAATTGCACTTATGCGCCTTACACTCCAGACCCCTCAATTACATTTAAAAAATACCTTGGTTCGAAGAGAGGTTTTTCGCATCAAAGAGTTCCTTCGATTTAGCTTTAAAATTCAAGCAAGTAAAATAGCTGTTGCATCGATCCGGACATTCACAATGTTACGATACAATTACATTATTATTTCTTTCTCATAGGCTAGTTACATAATATGATTAATTGTTCGATAAAAATGGAGAAGAGAAACAAAGTACTCATAGATGAGTCACAGACCAAAAAGAAAAAAGGAACGTATGTAACTGTATCATAACATAAAATAAACAAGTGAAGTATGCGTGTAGCCACGAGTATGAGGCAAACCGGCGCGCCTTCAATTTTGTACACGCAACACGCTCATCCATCGAGCACGAATAGTCGCATCCTCGCGCCGTGATGTAAAATAGGTGCAGTGCAGTGCATTCACTAAAGCGGCCGATATACCTGAAGGCAAGAATTTTGGCAACATCTGAAGGCTCATACGGCGTTCTTCCTTAGCACGGCAGAATTCTGTACATGCTCCATGGATATTCAATGAGCATGAGTAGTCGCATATCGACGGTGAAACTACCAAACCACGTATCTCGGTTTGCGACGTCGCAGACTTCCTGTCATACTTTATTTTTTAAATGAAAAACTACTTAACATCCAGTCTTCAAAATTTCTGTGATTTTTCCTCTTTGTGCGGAGAAAATTCCGTGAAAATTTCAAGGAATGATATTGATTTGGTCTACTTCAAAAAAATAAAATGTGAGCGTAGATTTTTAAACACCGCAAACGAGATACGTGGTTTGGTAGTTTCACCGTCGTTATGTAATAATAGCACATTATAATAATGAAGAATACTCGCATATTTTTTTTCTTTTTTTTGTTGTGTTTTCTCAAAGAAATGTGTGGTATTTTTAAACAAGGTTGCCTTGATAAATTTGGGTATCCATCCATGACGATATATGTTTTGTTTCCCACGATGATGAAACTTTTGTTTGAACTGAAGGAACTCTTTCGAAAGATAAGAAAACATCCTCTCTCTCTAAAGAACAGAAATTTCACCAAATCGGGAAACATATTCTGTGAAGTCAAGAAACTTTTTTCGAGTAATTAAACATTTTCCTTTCCACCGAAGAGCTTATTTTTTTTTTTACATATGACCGCTTTTTAACGGTTTTTATTCCCTGTACACCGAGCTAATGTATTTGAATTAGAACAAAACCAGAATAATTTAATGTTGATGTGTGTCTGGCGAGACTCGTTTCAAATGGGTCGTTGCAAATATAGTATCATTTCATGATCAATAATCATTCTTGATTTATGAAAATTATTTAAAAATGTTCCTAAGTTTCCTTGATTTTGTAATAAAATAACTGCTCCTCCATGACTTTAGTTTGATATTCTTCTACAATGTGTTCTAATTTTAGTTTTAAAAAATTGGATCACCGTTAATATTTTATTATACCATTTCCATTTATTTCATGTTTATAATTTGCAAGAAAAAATAAGATCTTATTTTGTATTGACGCCTAATATTTGTATGATCTTCGGGAAATGAATCCATGTAACCGTTGGTTTTGTTACATACCTGCAATAAGAGGAAAGGGAAACTTCACAGAGATTCATCCATGGTTTGATTTGGTTGTCGATTCAAGGATTTGCATGTTCAGCGGTTGAAAGATCGAAGAAAGTTAGCTCGCCTGAATTTTGTAGGTTTGTACCGCAAGTTGAGGCAAGGATATGAACTTTATCATTGAATTGCAGATTAGTGGTTTGCATCGGTAAGGGACTACAGATGGCAACAAATTTGAGGCTCGGTTTCGCGACTTGTGGTCGATTAACTTAATTCGGGCACCAGTCGTGGAGATAAACATGGTAAGTGATTCAAAAATCGAGCTACAGGCCAAAAATAAACAAGTCACATTTCAAACTACATGTACATAAATGAGAAATGATATGTATAAAACTTACTAGAAACAAAGCAGATGTTTCGACTGCCAACAAAAACTGTAGTTGCAAAAGATTGTGTATTTCTGTGTATTTCTGCATAGTTGGCGAATAGTTTTGTTGCTTTTTTTATTTACTTATTTTTTCTTATATTTTTATGTTTTGTAAAATGTTTCCACGTGTTGTTCTCAATACACTGAAAAAGATCGCAGTTTGTAGGCGGTCGGAACGTTTGCTTTGTTTCTTGTGAGTTTTGTATTGTTTCTCATCTATATGCATGCAGTTTGAAATACTACTTGTTTATGTTTGGCTTATTGCTTGATTGAAATGCTTGAATCAATTACCATGTTTTATTCAGCTTAGCCAGCCAAAATTGGCAACACAATGTCGTGGAGATGATATGTATACGCAATAAAAAAATGAATCCTGTAGTTCTAATACTATCGTTTTTGTTGGATGTAGATGTCAAAGGAACGCGTACGCCGGAACTTCCCGTTAAACCATTCCAATGCGATTTGTGCTTCAAGTTCTTTAGGAGGAAACACCACCTAGTCGAACATCAAACGCACTATTGTGCGCAATCGTTGGACAAGCCCACATATCCGTGTCCTCAATGCACCTATGTCGCAAAACGAAGTTCCGATCTGAGGAAACATCGAACTTTGCAAGGACACTATAGCTTTATGATAGAGTAGCATTGCCGTAGATGTATTCATCTTGCGCGAGGAGAACAATCCGATCCAACGAAATATAGACGAGGAAATATTAGTTGGCCAACATGTAGTATGTATTTACAACCAACAAACTCAATATACGTGAAATCAGCGACAGCCTGTCACTTTTTACTACACTCATTTATGTTCATGTCTCTACCGTCTTCAATTATAAATCTGATTTATTTTTTTCAAGCTACTGTTTTTTTTCTTCCTTTTTTTGAAAAAATTCTGTTTCCCCCGTAGTCAATCCAGTTTCCCTCACCAAATCAGTACACCTGTTTGGCACGGGAAACGCGTATACAATAGTATCTGTCTTTTTCTCTCTCCCTCTCTCCCCTCCCTCTGCCCTCTCCTACCCTCTCTCCCTTTCTCTCCTCCCCTCTCTCCGTACCTCCCTCTCTCCATCTCCCTCTTTCCTCCTCTGTATGAACGACTGTACCTACAACGAGAAACTTTTTGTATTGAGGCAATCGGTCGGTCCCCTGAACTTCTAAACTGTTTTGTATTAAATACATGTACATTCTTCCCGACGCGACCTAACGAGCATGGCAACGAAGCAACTCTCTCTCTGTAGTGAGCGGTCGTCAATTTAGCTCAAAGGTCAAAGTGCAGGTTCATACCTAGGAATCTGCCTTCTCAAAAGCATAAACGATAATGCTGTCGTTTACGAGTTTCCAAATGCTGACAAATCAGTGCAGTTTCACAAGAGGTGCGAGCATGGTGTTCTCCATTTTTAAATAAACAGAAGAGAATTAGTTAGATTTTTAGTCATTTTATTTGTATTATTTTAAATTACAAATCCATACGGAGTGTGCGAAAACTCATTGGTAGTATGTATGTATGTATGTATGTATGTATGTATGTATGAGCCGCTTTTACAGCGCGCTAGGGCGCTCTGCGACGCCTATTCTCCACAGGAATCTGTCATGGTAGAGATCCTCCGGAAGCTGGCATCTCTCCATCTCTTCATGGATGCCCTCTACCCACCGTTTGGCTGGACGCCCTCTCCGTCGCCTACCTGGGGGGACCCACTCCAACACCTTCTTCGGCAACCTGGTATCAGCCATTCTCTGCACATGCCCATACCATACCAATTGCTTGGTCATGATATCGTGCACAATCGTCCCCTCAACGCCCATTATCTCGTGTCTAGTAACACGTTAAAAAACGCCGACTCCGCGAGTTTAACTAATCTCGCCAAACTCAACGCTGCATTAGTGCCTGCAAGACTGTATAAATACTTCACGCATTGCCCGTTCACGACGCTGCGCGCTTTAATCATTGAAAATTCGTAATTTCTCGGTGCTGGAATGCTGTTTTCGAGGATTCATAGATTTTGCACCCCTACCCCCACCCTTCCTCTCCCCTTTTAGGATCATTCTTAACTTCTCACCATGCAGCTGATGTAAGAGTTGATTTTGATAGAATAATATATAAAATTGGTGTGATGTCCAAAGTTTTCCAAATTCGTGTTCTTTTCTATGGACTAACTTACATGATGACACCCTTCCTTTTGCAGGTTCTCAACGGGTTGATAGTTCAATTTCTCCGAGTGCTCTCAACGTCCTAGAGAGGCTTGCCGATTCGAGAGGCATTGAGGAGAAAAGTTCAGCATTGAGATTTATTTGTGACCTTTGTTTCAAAGGCTACAAAACAAAGAGTCTCCTATTACGGCATCAAAGATACGAGTGTGAAAACGCTTTAGAGAAACCCTCTTTTCCTTGCAATTTGTGCTCCTACGTCGCGAAACACAATTATCACCTGAAAAGACATCTAGTCCTTACTCATGGCATCCAAATGTAATTTCTCCAAGTTCTTTATTCAATATCGAATGAAGCTCTTTTATGTTTCAGGAATGTGCAATCAAAGCATTTCATTTCTATTTTGTCTTTTCAAACGCAAAAGCAATGAAAGAACCAGTAGCTTTAAAACTAAAAATTTATTTTATTTTACTTGTTACTCATCTGTTTTTTTCGAAGTACATTATTTTCCAATTGCGACCATAATATGTTTTTTTTTTCAAAAATCAAATCCCTAACAAAGTCCGTGAATGGTAGTTTTCACGATAAAGGATAAAGTAACTTTACCTCTCTGATTTTCTGAAATGCATGTCCGACCTCTCCCATTGATTCGGTCCATTGTGCGACGGGTTGTTCCTCGTGTTCTCTCAGACAAATAACCGAAATAAACACACCTGTTTAGATATTTTTACCATTGTTACTGTTACACCTGTGGAAATTAGAGGCCACAATTATTATCAATTCAACCTATTGTAACCAATGATACATGTTGATCATTAGTATTTTTATCACAAAAACCATCTTTTTTAAAACCATCGATTAATGATAAAAAATAGCACTATTATTGGTTAGAGATACTGTTATTTAAGACCACGCTCAGAGCAATTCTGCCATGGTAATCATAACCGCTAATTTTTTCAATGTAATAATGCATTCTTCCAAACGCTTTTTATAGTCAGATCTTCTCTGCGGGATGTTCATTGAAGTTGATAGACACAGCGATAGACAGAGAAGAGAAACGAAAAATAGGAAGCCTTATCGAAGGACGTGGATGGTTGTAAGGGACAAAATACAGAAGTAATAGACTTACCAACGGCAGCTCACGAGAAATCCCACAGTTAGTTCACCATTTACTGTCTTTATAAAGTCTACAACAACCACCTCTTTCAAATAATAGGACAGTTAATTTTCCCATCGTTCTTTTATGTCTAACGCTTTGTCTATCAATTTCAATAATCAGCCCGTTATTTTAAGATGTATACAACCGATAATATTTTATTTCTTTCTTCTAGGTCTCCCGTCTTCGTACCCCGTCGTCGTAGTCCTTCAGAATTCATCTGCCATTATTTCACCATACTCCAACAGTTGTACATCAAAACCGCTTTCTGGGAATTTCCTCCCGAGTTCACACCTGCAGGCTTATGTTTGCGATTTTTGTGGAAAGTCCTACAAGGCAAAGAGTAATTTGAAAAGGCACCAAACCTATGAGTGCAAAAACGTCCTTGAGAAGCCGGTATTCCCATGCCCACATTGTCGCCACATCTCCAAACATAATTTTGACTTGAAAAAACATTTGATTCTGAAACATGGGGTTAAAGTAAAGTGAAAAAAAACAACGAAACTAGCATGCAGCAATGCAGCATTGCAGCACGTAAAAGTAAAAGGGCACAACTTCGTTTTTTCTAAAGTACCGAGAGTAGAAGAAAACGGAAACCTTTTTTGTCATGATGAATTTGTTTTTCCTCTCAAGCTGAAATTAAAGTTGAGAGATATCACTACCACTAAAAATTTCTAAAGTTTACATTATTCTGTTCATTTTTTAGGAAGGAAAATGGTCTTTCTCCTTTTTTTCCTAACTTTCTTTTTGCCATTATGAGGACCATTTGAGTTTACACTTGATGATCCTAAAACTTTTATGGCTTAGCTCTAGAATTTTGTTCTCCTTTTTTTTGAGCACAAAGATATCTGGAAGAAAGCACATTTTGAAATTCTAATTTAAGACCATCAAACGAATTCAATATCTCAGTTTTATTCCATTATTTGAAAATTTTGAACACTTTGGGCGAAAGATCCCCCCGTAAACTCTCAAAATGTAACTTTTGCTGATACCTTCCCTATTTATTTTAAAGCGACTTGGAATGTGTCATTCAGTTGTGCTATTAGGCAAGCCTCACTGGAAAAAAACCACATTGGATCTAGAGTCCACACTCTTAAAATCATCGACAAGAAAAAATCCTCTTGATTCAATCGGATTTTAGCTTAAATCAAGAACCAAGCCTCTTAATTTGAGCGGATTTCCTTTTGATTTAAGCAAAAATCTGATTGAATCAGGAGTATGCTTTCTTGTCAATGTTTTCAAGAGTCTGGACTCTAGATCCAATGTGTTTTTTTTTCCAGTGCTCGTCAAGAATCGGGCCTGTGCCCCTCTAATCGTATATGTGTGGACTTATTTGCACAATATTATTGTCGCTCGTTAACTTCCATTACTCGTTCAAACGTGGAAATGATAATCGGTTAGACCGTCAGATTCATACGACAAAGATATTTATTTAAGTCAGTTTTTACGCAACAGCTGTTTTTACTCAAATGATAAGCAATGTTTTCTCTTTTTTTTTCTTTTTTGGAGTAAAATAGAAAAAAAACGAAATAAATACAATGAAAAAGTGAGGCGGTTTTTCCGGAGTTGATATGATGAGAATATGCCTTTTGATTCAAAACGTAGGTTATATTATTTTGATAGATTTTGTCAGTTATTAGTGTTATTCTTAGAATTTTTCCACGAAAATATTTTTTCCTGTGTGTTTCATTGTACCTTTTGCAAAGTAAATATTTTTCTAAAGCCCTCTCTTAATTAGTTATTTGGAATAAATGTTTTTAAAATGTCATCTTCTTGAAAGTTCACTCACTTACCTTCGTAAACTTTTTTAGACATTTAAGTTTCGTGTGAATGCTTCTTACTGTTGCAGTGGTGAGTTCCAAATACTCCTCCGGGTTTCGATTCAATCACGATAAATTATTTTTTATTATATTTTTGTTATTATTAATTAATTATAATTAATCTTAATTATATTTCTTGCCAGAGAGTTTCTGCCCCGCTTTTCGGGGAAAGAGATAAAACATACTATCTAGCCATGTGATCACTTGGAACCTTTGTGATTACATACGAGTCAGAGGCAGATCCAGCAAATTGGCAACACCGGATTTTCTCCATTTAAAGCTATGCTAAGTAATCGATTCTTGTCTGAGCACCTGGTTCCTCCAAGAATCGATACATTTCCATAGATTTAAATAGAGGAAAGGCAATGTTGCAAATTCGCTGGATCCGCCGATGATACGAGTTAAATTGGATGTATTTAAGCTAAAAAGAACTATATTTCACGCAAATCTTATGCACGTACTTCCTTTTAGCATAAGTACGTCCAATTAGGAATCGAATTCATGGCCGTTCCATGAACATCTCTTTTCCTTGAGGAGGCTCCATATCCTTATAGTTTTCATTATGACTTAGGGGGCCTCTAACGAAGCATCAAATTTTATGAAGGACAATTATTTTTCCAAACCTTCCGTAAAATTTAGCCTCTAGAAATGGATCCTCGCAAGGCATAAATATTTGCCGCTGAAAACGTACAAAATACAAAATAATGCGACTCAGGTTTAATTCTGGCGGCTACCGTGCAATTTTCAACGAGGTCGCCGATTTTGAACACGAATTTTTTGTCGATTTGAAGCAGGAAAAACTAACACAAAAAATTAACCATCAGCGTGTGTTACTCCGTGTTTTACTTTCCATATTAACACAACATTTTGGTCACTTTTTCTTGCTGTGTAGGCCTTCTCTACACGAGCTCAGTTCGCGGAACTTTTTGGAGCCTTCGTTCCTGGAACTTATTATAACTCATTTGTAACTTCTCCGCGAAACTTCAGTTCCGTGAACTGAGCCCGCATGGACAAGGCCCTCAGCATGTGACTATTACATTGTTTCGATTCCTTCGTTTATTTTTAGATGTTCTCGGACCGATAGCGCGAGAATCCTACGAAACTGTAACGATGAAGGATGGAGTTCGGTTTATCTGTCAGTGCGGGAATATGTACTCAAAACCGACGAATTTAAGTCGTCACCAGAAGTCCAATTGCAGTGCTGCTTCTGAAGTGCTCCGATTCAAATGCAATTTGTGTCCCTACGTCGCCAAAAGGAAGGATTATTTGAAAGAGCATCTCATACGTCACCACTGTTTGTAGTTGTCAGCTGATATACATCTGAAGATTCATACTTCACAGCTTAAAATATACAAGAAGTTTTACATAACAATCTTGAATTTTCTTATTCATACCATGTTGCTCCATGTTTGCTCCGAAAGGGCAGTGCCTAAAATGGCATTATCTAGATTTTGGGCAGGAGCCAACTTCAGGGCCATAGGTTTAGACACTAATTGGTCTAATTCGCGAAGGGGTAAATCCACTCAAGCTCTAAGTAATGTCATTCGATCTTGACGTCGACGAGAAAGAACTTAGTATTCTTTCTACCTTTCGTAAACAAAACAAAATTACCGAATTTGAACATACTTTAAAACAAAGTTCCTTTCAACAAAGTTCAGAAACCGTTCTCCTTTTTAAGGTTCCTCTTTAAATTACGCGAGGACAGTCATTAACTGTACAGCTTTTCCGGTATATAACGTCCACATATCGACGGTGAAAGTCGGCAATCACATAACTCGTTTGCGGTGTCTGAAAACCTCCGCCTCTACGTCATTTTTTTAAAGGAGAACAAATTGATATTATTTCTTGAAGTTTTTGCAGAATTTTCTTCGCATTGAGAAGAAAAATCATGACAGTTTTAAAGAATTGCCATTGAGTAGTTTTCCATTTAAAAAATAAAGTATGACAGGAAGTCTGCGACGTCGCAAACCGAGTTATATGATTGCCGACTTTCACCGTCGATATGTTCCTCGCATATTATCTCAATGCCCAAGAATGACCCCTATTTTAGAATAGGAATACGTTTGAAAAAATACCAATACGCTCGACAATTTTGATCCTACATTCGTAATATCTAAAATCCAAACAAATGAAATGTTTTTTCAAGTAAACTCATCATGGGGAAAATACCAGGCAATAAGGAATTTTACATGAGATATTAGTGAATTAGAAGATGGATGAAATGAGTCAAGTACCTCCAATTTCCACATTTTTCTTCATTTACAGCAGTTGGTAAGTCCATGTAGCAAGCACAGCGGACTCCTACTTTCTTACTCCGCGTTGAAGTCTCTAAGAAATGCGTTGGTAATTTTCATCTCAACAAGTACTGTGCGGTATATACGTGGTTTCTACTTAGCGCTGCAGAATGAAGATCTTGCACGAAGCTGAAAACTCTTTCTAAAAGAGCCCAAAACAATTTTTTCAATGTTTCTATTATTACGCTTACAGGGTGATTCAGAAGTTCCGCACCACCATCCAGCATCAGACATCACCCAATTGTTCTTGTTCGTTGCGAATTATTTGTCTGATTTTATTGTACTATTGTATATTTTTCCAAAAGTGCGATTTTATTAACGGAAGAAAACCGACACCCAATTAGCAAAACATTTAAACTGAACCTTTGTTTATTTATTTATATTTTTTTTATTAATATTTTATCTTTTATTTTTTACCTCATTAGATCCTACGTCCAGCCCTTTACGCACGAGTTCAACCCCTGGATTATCATCATCAGACATATTGTGGCAATGCCATGGATTCGGTGAAGTAATATCGGAGCCATTAGACTGGGAGACAAATCAAATCAATGACATAATACATGTACAAACGACTGAAAATACGCCCAAAGCTGTAAAGAAATTCGCTCCAGAGAGATCGATTTTTGGGAATGCTGCATTGGCCTATTGGTCCAATAGAGAAATTGGCTCATTCTCTTTTAATCCTACAATTTACAACAACCTGAAAGAAAAGCGTAAGAACCCTCAACAAAGCCAAATTGGTTCATTCTCTTTTAATTCTAAAATTTACAACAACCTGAAGGAAAAGCGTAAGAACCCTCAACGAGGAAAGTTTCCCCTCGCCTCATGGCTGTCTTACTTTATTGGGAACAAGAAGATGACGAAAAATCATGATGTTTTACCAATTGCAAACACTGAGGTGGATAATAATCCTGGAACATCTCAAGAATCAGGGATGATATCAAAAGCCAAGTATGATTGGGGTATGAATATGACGAATCAAAATCACTCTTTTTCTTTGGATTCCATGACCCAGGAAAAGCGTAGATCTGCCGAAAGATTACAGGATTGCGAAAAACGTAGATTTTCCAAAAGATTACAGGATAAGAAAAATAAAGATAAAATACGGAACAGCCCAAAAAATATTCAGCAGCTAAAGCAGAATACGAAAAATTTGAATAAAAAGGACAAGGCTGGAGGTGACCCAAATTCGTCTCGTGTGAATTCCACGTAAGTAATTCAAAAAAAGCTGGAAAATTACAGAAAAATAAAACGAGGATGTGAAATACCCCAAAAAATGTTCAGCAGATGAAGCAAAATATGAATAAAAAGAACAAATCTCCAAATATAAACAATTCGTCCTGTACGGATTCCACAGCGCAAAATAATGCAAAGTGTGCTAAAAACTTACAGGTAATTAAGAAATATAAGAAGAAGAACAAGAACAAGAAGAACGATGCAGGAAATCGTGAAAAATAATAAGCGAGTGCAAGTGAGGTAGCGCAATATAACGTAACATACACATACACACTGCGTCCTCTAGAATCATATAAGGGAAGGTCGTATGCCTTGAAAGTACGCAGTACGCTATAGCTCTGCATGACATTTTTAAGGGGATTTTCATTTGTATGCTTTGATCCAATTCCATTTTTTTTATCAATTAAAGCCATTCATTTTTTATTTATTAATTCTTTGGAACAATTGGAACGAATAAAGAATATTAATTTTCTTTCATGCAGAGCTAAAACTGCAAAAAAACAATCTTGACCTATATCATCGAGTGACTCTCTTTTAAACTTTAGCTTTTATTTATTTATTATTTTCATCTTATTTTGAAAAACAGTTGTTAGTAAAAAGTTTAAGTGTTTTGTTGAAAGA